CATAAAGAACATAGAAATCGTATTGCAGTGTACAGTAAAAGAACTTAAAAAGAAAAAAGAATCACTAGCAACGACAATTTCGGGACGACCGGTATCCATCGATGCGACTATACTGTTTACTTGCCAAGAATTTAAACAACGTTTGTGCTGGTGTACTTGTTGAAATGGACACGTCGTGTGAGCGCCGCACTTGCCGATGTTGTTTACAAAGTGGGGACTGGTGGGGATACTTGCCAAGTACGTAAATATTGGCGTACTTGCCAAGTAGACCAGTCGTGAGAGTGCGCCTTTTTAGTTACTTAGTTACGATGCTACAACTCTACTTAACCGACCCATGTTCTAAAGTACCCATTTCTATACTTTGGCGCTCAAGTTCTTCACTTTTAGTGCACTCCTGGAAAGTGATTTTTTTGGTTTATATTTTGTTGATTTAGGGGCTATTATTTACACCCTATAAAAGTTCATAAATAAATTCCATAAAGTCCAGATTTTGTCCGGATTTCTGAATTCACTTGTCCGGAATTTCTAAAAGCCTTTATGCAAACGCTCCGACGAAAAGTGTACCGACTTGCATAAAAATGTATGAAATGTTCATTTTTAATTTAAATAATAGTAAAAACTTGCAGACATAAAAAATATTTTCAAAAAACACTTCAGTAGCATTGCGTGTTAAGGTGGCTTTCTGGAGACCCTATTTATACTTTTTCCATTTTTTTTCATCATTTTGAACTTCATTCAATTGATAGAGAAGTTTTTTTGTTAAGTGGCAACCGCATTATATTAATTATATAGAGAAATGTCTTCTAAACCTAAAATAGTTTTCTTTATAGAGAATATTTAGATAAAATAAAGACAGATTGTCTAGGCTGTACCTTAATCCTTATCGAGAGATAGAGACTAATTTTTTAGACACTAGGGCGGATCTGAGTTTTTTTTTATATCGATCTAATCCCACACAGCTTAGGTCTCCTGAAGTAATAGGAACCCAAAATGAAGGAACATAAAAATAGATTTTAGCAAATCTGTCGATGCTTATTGATTTAATAAAACAGGTTTTAATAACGTCACAATCATAATAAAAAAATGATCTTACTCATATCTAACCGCTTTTTGGAAAAAAAATCATTTTTGTCAAAATTAAATAACAATTTTAATTCTTTATTTAACTAGTCTTATTTTAATTTCTCTCAGTTTTTTTAAACGAGGGCTCTATTAAAAACCAATTGAAACCGTAATGTAATTTTGATTGGCGAATTTTAAAGTTTTCCGTTTTAAAAGTTTAATGCGATGTTCTGAGCGAAGTTTTCAGTCACATTTTCTTTCGTGGAAAATTACCGTGAAGTGCGTATTTAGAGAGGAATTTAATGATAAGATACAAGAATGAGTAAAAAGTCAGATAAAAAACGTTAATTTAATGTAAATTAAAATTGTATGAAGCGGAGCAGGAAAAGTTTATATTAAAAGAGATGACCTAAATTTGGAATACAGTGTATTTTTTAAGTAAGATAGAATCAGGAATATACCGGGTTTTTCTCAAAAGTGGCTCACCCCTATAACTTTTTTATTTTTTCAGATAAAAAAACGAGATTTGGTACATTAGTACCTATACAGGGTTGTTCACCACGTACGACACGGCGTATTGTAGCTAAACGATTAGATTTTTACAAATTGTAAGTTTTGGGTTGCAGTAAAAATTGCAGTAAAAATTTTAAGGCTTCATTTCTCCGAGGGTATCAAAGTTTTTAATGCTAAATATTTACTGAAGTTTATTTATTGATCAGTTATTGTGTTGCAATAATAAAAATTATACTACCTTATACAGAGTGTCTAAAAATTTATTTTAAATAATTACTTGCTTTAAACGGCAATAACTTGTTTAATTTAAATGGAATACCCTGTATATTTTATGATAATCAGATGCACAATTTAATTGTCTATCAAATTGTATTATGCCATTTTTTACCTATCTCTTCAAGTTTCCGTAGAAAATGCATTTTCTTGTAATTCAGAACTCATTTATCAATATATCCATGGAATACTGACATTTTAGATTATTTTTAAAGAGTACAGACACTAATATTGTCAATATAGTTTGATTATTTTATTAAAAAAATTAAAAAAAACTGTTTAAATATTTGTTAAAGAGGACCATTTAATATGATTCCATTATTCAAACTGCATTAATTGACTGTTTGCGTTGATTAATAATAATTGCTCCAAACACAAAAAAAATGAATTTGGTATGTGTATTAGACAGTGTGGTAAAAAGTAACACCTTAAAAATTATATTTCATTTTTTGACAAATGTTTATTTATAACAACAGAGACGTTCATTTTCATAACTTATTTATTATATTGATTTCTGATTCAAATCCACATTAATTAAGAATAATTTATTAACTAACACAATTAAGTATGTAATTAATTAGTGGTCGGAAATAATGATGGTATATTTAATTAATGGTATACTCTTTTATAAAGATTTAAATAGTTTTCTTTTTGCATACAAATGGGCTAGTAATATTATCGTTTTGCTAAAAACGAGAATATTACTAGCCTGTACATTTTGTACATTTGTTACTTTAAAAATAATCTAAAATGTCAATATTCCATAGGGTATATTGATAAATGAGGCCTAAATTATAAAAAAATGCATTTCCTACGAAAACTTGAAGAGATAGGGAAAAAGTGGTATAATACAATTCGATAGACAATTAAATTGTGCATCTTATTCTCCTAAAATATACAGGGCATTCCATTTAAATTAAACAAGTTTAAAGCTAGAAATTATTTAAAATAAATTTGTAGACTCTCTGTATGAGGTAGTATTATTTTTATTATTGCAACACAATAACTGATCAATAAATAAACTTCAGTAAATATTTAGTATTAAAAACTTTGATACCCTCGGAGAAATAAAGCCTTAAAATTTTTACTGCAATTTTACAAAATTGAAAATGTTTTAAAAACGGTAAGGCTTAAGTGTAATAAACCATAATCAAATTTACCTTTATTTTAATTGTAGAAACTAAAAATGTAATAATATACAGGGTGTTCCATTTTAAAAAATACAACTTTGATATTTTTAATTTATTTGGGACACACTGTATCTTGTAAAAATATTTTTAAATTGTAGCTCTAATAGTCCTTCAACGAACCCAAAACTTACAATTTGTAAAAATCTAATCGTTTAGCTACAATACACCGTGTCGTATGTGGTGAACAACCCTGTATGACATAAATCAGCCATTGATTGAAATATTCAATAATTGTTTTCGGTCACTTCCTGTTTTACCGCAAACGTCCATAACTTTTGATTTTTAAATGACACCCTCTGTATTTTTTTTACTTTATTCGTCGATTGAAAATGAAACTCTGAATAGAATGACATATATCATATGTCAATTTTTGACATTTTCTCATATGGTTTTAAACCATATCAGAGAAAATGTCAAAAATTGGTTTATTTGAAATTGTAAATTGCCATTCATAGCGACAATTTGACTACAAAAGATGTGTGTGGTACCAAATTATTCGTAATAAAATAATATACAAATATGCTAATGTGCCACCCTTGTTCTATTTGAAAAAATTGAGATATGATTAAAAATACGATTTGGGCATCTTTTAACCGGCCAAAACAGGACACGAAAAACATTAGACGATCATTACCATCACCTACCATCAGTTACCATATCTATTTTGATAGTCTAAGGCTCCTTGATTAAAAATTAGTACCGTATGATCGAAAAAAACGGCGTCCAGTTGGCTGGGAAATGACGATCGATGACATTTCCCAAATAAATTTATATATAAAATGGCAGCGATCTTCATTTCATAGTCATCGCTGACGCCCTTTTTTTCGATCATACGGTATTTTTGACTCGGCCATGGCACTCTACAGTATATCCCCGAATTGACTTTGCAAGAGGAAAAATGTTTTTATTTTTGACATTTTGAGAAAAATGCATTCTTCATTTAAATTCTTGCTTGTTCTATTCCAAATTTCCATACCGTATTAGATAAAATAAAAAATACTCCTAAAAATCAAAACGCGATAGCCTAAAATACTAGTAACACAACATTGCAGTTAATAGTTAGAAACTTATTAACTTTTTATAAAAACGCCTGATTTATATTGATTTGTTTTGCAGCCCTGTGTTGAGGTTTAAAAAAAATAAAAAACGAAAATTGATTGATAAAGGAAATGTAAGTAGCAGTAGCCGTCAATTTCAAGATTATGGACCAAAATGTACGGGATTCTTGACAGACAAAACAGATCTCTTTTTCTTTTTTTTTTTGTCTTTACTTTTGTGATGTGTGACACACCCAAGGACTGTCTATATTCTAAAGGGCTGTTCGATCGCGTCAAATCGCCGCTGTCGTAGTCGCCGTGGAATGCTACGTCACGCGCTGACCAGCGCTCCACAGTGCGGCGGATGGTTATTCTAGCGGGACAAAATCTCAAGAGCAATGTTTGGGGCTTAAAATCTAAGAACGTAGCAAATGGTCTAATATATAGCAACTATATGGTTAAATTTATTTATTTATTAACAACTTAATTTATTAATATTGTAAACTATTGCCAAATACATAAAATTATGATATCAGGTGAAATACTTACAAAAAACTCTTTAGCAGTTATTTTTTAATTACTTTGTAATCTTGTGACACCCTCTATATTTTATTTTAAAAAATTATATTTTATTTTAAAAATATTAATTAAGATAGATATTTTAATTTTAACACTCGGTAATTGTAAATTCATATATAGTACCTAAGTATCTAAGACAATTTTTTAAACTCAGTGCCTTTTGATGGAGTTGTTTTGTTTTTATACTATCCGATTGAAATGAATCTTTTTAGGCATTCACCTGTTAAGCTTGAACTCCCTATAACTGTGACTACCTGTGTTGGTAACTATTGGTAACTCAAAAGATCTACATCATTCAATATATCGATATTTGAAAAAAAAGTGAAAGTTTG